TGTGTGGCAGCTATGGGCAGCCCCATACAAAAGTTAACAAAAAAAATCTTTACGGGGCTCTCGAAAACCCCGTCTGGCCACAAGAAAAACCCCGTATGAATTCTTGAACGAGATTTACTTGACCCATCTGTCGCACCGAGGCTATTTCGCATCATAGTAATCATATTCTAAGAGTTTAAGACCTGTGTGTGTGCGTGTGTGTGTGTGTGATACTACCTAGTGTACATGTTGTACATGTTCAAACTCGAGCTCTGGCCTTCTATCCGCATCTAGTGCCGAGCCGTCTGCGTCCCTCTTACCAGTCTAGTCTGCGTCAAGAGAGATGGGTTTCCACATCCGGCTATAGCTAGCGGACTCCTGCTTTGGAAAGAATGTTCGCACGTGCATGTCCATCAATTGCCAAAATGATAATTGTGATGTCTTTGGTTAAAGGGACATGCGAACAATTGCAAGGATGATATGTAATGCGTGGCTATAGCGGGGTACTAGACGTATACGGGCCCGGCATCTAGAATCGGATGCGGAGATATATTTCGACTGGCAGGAAACAAGCACACTTCAGTACTGATCATGAGTAACATCGATGCATCACACGTTCCCATTGTACAGCTATCTATTGCTATGACCAACTTCGAATTCTACCTATCTGTAGACTTTCTGGAGGCCTAGTGTTTTTTCATGTGCTTATTCCATGCGGGAAATTAGAATCCATGATATATCATGAGCCACTTGTTGGGACAAAGTCATTGGGTGCGTGTTGGAAAATGTACGCAAAACATGTAACTTGTCTTACTTTACAAGTAACTGGAACTGAATTCCCCCCTTACTTCGCTATTGTGACTCGGCCCCCTTACTTGCTACTTCAACCATGTTACCCTAACACCAACGTCAGTCTTCACCATTACCAACAAAAGAACAGCGACCATATTTCGAATATACGCTTCATGTGCAATTCTCGGTGGCTTATTTGATGCTTACAAGGACATAGGCGAAAAACAAAAATGGAATTACCGCAAAAACTGGCGAGATCAGGCCTGCCTGTTTTTTGAGCTTTTCCCTTCACAGCAGGATCAGTGAAGATAATTGCCTTTTTCAATGACTTGTTGGCCGTGCACACACTGCCTGTGGAAAAAGACCAGGGCCTGATCTCACCAGTTTTTGCGGTATTCCTTGATTTACTTCTTAGTCAATACACGCATAATCGATATCCATGGCCATGTGGCTTATAATTTCTTTTAGAATTAATTCAATGGCCGGCAATGTCCACAGTATAGGCCGCCTAGCCGGGGATTCCAGATTGTAAAATCACTTCTTTCATTTTTGCAATTGGTGGGAGCGGTTAGAACAGGAGAGGCTGGCCGGCCATGTATGCGAGTCTGAGAGAGGTTGTGGGTTAACAGTTCTGGCAAGATGAGGGAACTCTGTTCCAGCGAATCATGGAGAGATACGCTGCGGTCGACGTCCCGTGCCCGTGCTCCGTGCGCCGATTTCTACAAAATATGGACTTGATCAAGTTTTCATATTTTCACTGCCGCCACGAACGTGAAGGGCCAAAACGTATGATAGACGATTCAATCTTATATCTCCATCTCTTCACGTTTACAGTTGTCGTTGCTTTAAGACGTCGACGCGACCAATAGCTTTTGTTTGACTAGTAATGGATCCCTAGTAAACGCCCCCAAAACTGTGACCCGATATCTGTTCGTTTATGTTAGAGTACCATTACTAGTCGTATGAAGGCGGCGCCACCCGCATTACCCTAAATTAAAGAAGGTATTCGCCTTGCATCTAATTAGCGGAAGCTTGTAAGATCTGCACTCTAGTACTAGTTTTCACGTTGTGGCACAATTGTTACATGCGCCAAATCACTAGCTACCGTGAGCTTTAGGAGAGAATCTCTCGTTACAGTTAACGTTATTCATTAATCACTAGCCTTTTAGCGAAAAAAAGGGGGCCAATAGCTCAAACTGTATTCACCAATTTACTATACAGAAGATCTACTACGTAGCTACATGTTAACGTCCGTAACAAGTTAATTAGGAACAATCTTTCTTGTCCGGATTTATTGTGCGACAAACGTGTCACGAAAACCTTGTTTGAAAACCAAATTAAATCAAAAATTCGAACATTCACAAAGAGGTAACTCAGGTATCTACTCGTCAACTCAAGACGTCGCTAAGAAGACTGGGATAAATTCTCACCAAAATTGTACTGTGCACAGACAAATCGCCCTAGCTTGTCCACAAAGGTCTTGAGTTGACGAGTAAATGTCAGATCTAGATACGTTCCAGATAAGAGCAGGGGCAATTGTAGTCTTGTGCCGGGCAATTGCAAAGACAGTGCCTGTGCGTTTGGCGTTTGGCCCAGCGAGTTGGCAATTTTCAGAGTGGATTGAAGACAAGAAAAGAACTGAGTGGGCGATTTGGAAGATGAATTCCTCTAGTTGCACCAGAAACAATCCAAATACAATCTGAAATTCAAGTGAGTACCAACGCGCTGAAATTCCGATATTTGCACCAAAAATCAATTTTTTTAAAAATTTAAAACGTGCCTTTTTTGCCCTGAAAACCCTGTTGTCATGAAATGGACTGTGGTTGAATATTCTGTGCGCCGTCAGTATAGTGTCACGCGCACTGTCAGGCATTTTATTTTGTATGTATTCGCATACAAAAGAAAGATGCTCAGTGCACCGTACGGCGCAAAATAAAATACTGATCTTGCGCCGTACGGCGCGCTAATCATCAAGGGAAATACTTAGTTTAGCGAGTTTCTTGTGATCGGGTGCTCCAGAGCAGGAGTTTCTTTTTTTGTGATCGGGGAACTTTTTGGTAACAAAATTTTCAGAAGAATTTTGTATTTTGAGAAATCCGAAGCTACGCTCCCCTAAACATAGTTTTTCATGAATTTCTAAAATTATTTTCAGCAAGTATTCGCATATAAAATTCAAGAGAACGGCTGTGACATGCTGCGATCACCCAGAGCACCCGATCACAGGATCACGAAAAATTCGTTCCCCTGATGCATTCAGAACCCCGTCAAACCACCTCACGGCGCAACGGTCAACGGCGTACTTAGATCTGTTGAGAATAGCTCCTATAATATATGTTAGCGAAGCTTAGTAAAGGGCATGTTTCCAGTTCTTTTATCAACCGGAATTTAGGCTGTTCAAATGTGTAAATCTTAAATTAACCATGACGGAAAAACCATAATTCAACGTCGTTTCGCAATTGCAAGTAACCATGCCCATGGTCGTGGTGCCGCTGCCGGTTCCCGTTGAATTGCCATTTTTTTATGGCGTGCATGTCGATTTCAGTTAACGTTCAAATTCGTCGACCGTCGAGAATATCTTCAGAAACGATCGATTTGCAAGTACCCACAGATAAAAATGTATGGATGTGGTTTTATTGCGACATCTGATAATATATGCACCTTTCCGTGCGGAATAACACGTTCCGCAGCTCGATCTTGACGGCCATTTTGGCGGTGGCAAATTCCGAAAGGTTTGAGATGTAAGGGAAAAATTGTGAATTAATCGAAACCCAAGGCCCAACCTTCACAATTGACGTCGCTTAAGCGCTTCTGAATCCCAATAGCGGAGAAAGGTCTGTTTCCGGTCAGGGATGAACGCCGGCCGCTATTGGGACAGATCGACAAGCAACGTCACTCTGCATTGCAACATCCCGAACAGGCAACCACAACGATGAATCCTGACTGCGTGCACGGCTTGTCTAGGCACTAATAGCCCCACACACACACAAAATTATCCCTGCCTCTGGGCCGGCCTTGAGCTCGAGTTCATTCGGTACGCACAGAGCTGGAATCTATCTGTGTTCTCCATCGACGGTTTGCACAGACACCCCCCCCCTTCCCCCCTGCCAGTAATGGCCGCTCGATCGCAGACCCTTTTCCTAAGACGTGGGGATCGAGGCTAACGAGCTCGAGTGATTGGTGCCCAGGCGATTTCGATCTCAAGGCCCGGCCGTGAGTTCGAGTTCAGGTATTCGGCACACCCCACAAGACTTTCGGCTAGCACAAGCTTTCAAATATTTCCCCAGCAGATGGAGGGTTGATTGGGGTGGAAAAAACCCACCACGGTATTGGAACGGAAGCGCGCGTGGAAACAGGGACTTGACACCATATTTACAGCGGGAAGATACATCACAGACCAGGTGGATACCCGCGATCGCTCCGTGTTGATAGGCCTCCGAATTGTGCTATATCTTAAAGTACTCCCTCGCCGCCTTCCAACTTTTACTCGAGTGGGCATCAATTCTTTGTCATAACTTGTCCTAATCAATGTCCACCCGCGATCGATCGATCGCCTAAACCCAATAGGGGAATCTAGAGCGAGTCAACAGGAAAGCTCGCTTGCGATAACAGCCACTGCCCAGCTCGCTCGTTGCACAGGAAGTATACGAGACGAGCTTTTTTGCTGGCATTTTTATGTTTTCTTTTTACCACAGAAATATGATGTTAGCCCTCTTTTGTCATTATCAGGACATGTTTGCATACTTCTATGGCAATCTAAGGCTCTTGACACTGGGAGTTATAGGGATGAACATGGTACTCTATCCTTCGGGAGATCGACAACCTTGGTATTACTAGTTTCCGCTTTCCTCCCAGGCAAGATTGAAATACACGGGAGCCCCATGATCTGGATCCGGAGGATCCTAGGAATGGAGACTAGGTAAAGTGTGGGTGATATCGAAATACTAGTTAGCTTGCAGCGTGGGAGGTCGGTAAAGCTATGATAGCAACATGGGGGTGTATGCGGATGCATTACCGCAAAAACTGGCGAGTTGAGAACCATGTCAATTTTCAACGCTTTGCCTTAAGTGAATGAGTGCGCAGAACAGAGTGCGCATGCCCTGACCGTAACCCGCCTGGGGACGAGGCTACCCTGACCGTGCTCTGCCATTTTTTTGCAGAGGACCTCTTGACTGTCTCAAAAACCGACATGGTACATAATTGGCTAGTTTTATCGGCTAAATATCAAATGCAGTCTTGTGGTCTAGTGGCTATGATTTTCGTCTCACATCAGTGGGATTCCTGCTAAGTGCTTCACGAAAGGTCCCGAGTTCGAACCTCGGCGGGACTATCAATTTGATTTTTGACGAATCTTGTTTTTATTGATGGTCTTTTGTTTTAGAAAAAAATCCTGCATGTTTTCAATTCCCCCTTATCGCTCATGAATCATTACAGGTACCGAACCTCTATTTGGCAAGGTTCAAGATATCGTTGAAAGATATATCGTTGCCAATCTTCCAACGACGTAGCTAGCCTAGATTATGCGTACCCATATTTACCCTGAAAGTTGAGGGTAACCGTAATATATCCGCCTATCGAACTGGTAAGTGGGATGTGGGTTTTGTCTGTTCTTTTCTTATTTCGCTTGCAATGTTTGAGGAGGTGCTAGGCTAGCCTGCGAGGCTCTCCCTGCCAATTTTCGAAGTTCTTTTTCTCCACTTTTGTTTTTTATTAAATCTATCAGGGTAATGAGAGCGTTATGTATGATGGGGGGGGAGCTCGAGTGTATCTATCAGGGTAATGGGGGAGTTCAGTATGAGGTGATTGGAGTGTATCTAGCAGGCAGGGGATTTGGAGAAGACGGTGGGGGGGGGGGGGGGGACCAGCGGGGAATGGGACAGAGACGGCTGGTGGAAATGTGAAGACGGGGCAGGCTATGGAATTGGGGTATGTGGTCTGGCGACGGCGAGGGGGGGGGGTGTGCGGCAGGGAAGCTGGCTAGAGACGTCGACGTCTTGTTCGTTACTGGGTTTATGAGAATACTTGCTTGTATATAGAGGGAATATAATTATATTTTGCAGGGGCTCGAGCTTATCCCCCCCCAAAAAAAAAAAATTCGCCCCACTTAAGATACCGATTGCAATTCAGGGTAACCTTGAATATCCCAAACAGCCTTATAATCATAATTGTCAGCTAATATAATTGACGGCCGGGATTCATAAGCTTCGACTCCCTACTTCTCCATGTACATTGGATTGGAATTGACATAGCCGGCAATCACTAAATTTAAATATTTATCAATGGTTCTTCTTTCTCGCGATATAATATGAAAATTCAGCCCCGTGAATGCAAATTGCATAAGCTGGGTTGAATGAAGCTTGTTTTCATGGGGAACAACTTGTCAACTAAATAGAAATACCATATGTATTAGTAGTTGCATGAAAATTGGATTGGGCTTGAGCCTGTCATCAGCAATTGAAGGTCAGCTTGTCGCTGCCGAGTACTAGTCTACCTACCGCTGCAGCGACACAGGTTCAGGGTAATGTCGTTACATGTAGCGACAATCGGCGGCGAAGTGTCAGATCGATTGGCAACTCGAGCTCGAGTCGTCAATTCCATGTGATTATGAGGCTCGAGGGAAGTGATATATAGGCGGAATAAAGAAGGCAAACACTTCCTCTGTTGTGCTGTAAGCACATTAAAGACTATGTCTGACCCGTTTTACAATTACAAAGTCAATTGGAAAACAAACACCATGAAGGGTTCAAATCCCAATAGTACATGTACACTCCGTACTATAGCTAGGTACTTACTATATAGATATTTATCAAGGTAAATGTTATAATTAGTATATCTAGTACTTCTTATGTGATATTGCAATCACTCTTGTGACGATAATTTCAACTGCGGGAAATCCACAGACTTAGGAAAAGGGGTGTTCTCGTGCGCATGCGGAAAGGGGAGGGGCTATAGCTACTAGAAAAGGGTTCAATTACTCACAAATTCAGGAACCCCGGGATAATTGGGTGAATTGCCAAATGAATTATCGTGCCGCAACAGCTGCCATTCCCGCCAGACCAAACATCGCCTCAAAAGCGTGGCCCTGAAATTCGCCAATATCAAACCTCCCAGTTTCGCGATTCAAATCGCTCTCCATCATAATTACCCTCATAGATGGAATATTAACTTCTAAAGGGGCATCAAGCGTCTTTCTAGGTCTTAGAGGGAATTGTGCATACATAAGTGAAAAGCATATGCATCATTTCGTTTAATATGGTGACTATATGTGATGAAACATCGAATTCCGCTTATATATTCGGCTTCGGTTGAAGCATTAATCGCATGCGCATAGTAGATGTACTAGAATCATGTAAATTTGTAAAGTTAGCATGACAACTATAGCTATGAATACTGATAACAGAGGAAGAGGAATTAGAGCCGCAATGTCTGTGGGGATTTGGGATTTCAAGGAAACATTGGTATACTTACAAATGCGAGGTAGTGAAAATTCATTATACCGTTGTCAGGAGATTTGAGGGAAGAGGTGATATGGTGGGTGGCCGCCTCACCGGGAGGCAGGTGGGGATGGATACCGCATTGGGAAGGGGAGATGACTACCACATTATGCATACCACATCGGGTAGGAGCAGGGGAGTCAGGGAGGAATCTACCCCTTTGAGGGAGCCGAGAGCTCACCTCCGGGATGGAGAGAAAAGTAAATAGTTCAGAGGGCGGAGAGAGAAGCAAATTACACCATCATCTCCATCCATATCCTCCTGCCATAGTTCTCGGCTTCGTCTTCACAACCGTGGCCCTGGTTCCCTCTCACTAGAGTGCCCAGGCTACGGCATCGTGGTTCTCTGTAACTATCCAGTGATCGATTGAGCATCAATATCAGATACCTATTGCAATTGGTAATAATAATAACAAAGTAATTTCGAATGAGTCCCAGAGCCGAATCATGAGAAAGTCAATCTCACGCTTTCCGGCCATTTTTTTACTGTTGACATATTGGTAATGAAAGCATTGTACCAGTATATATATCAGCGCAGTGTGCTTGCACTTGATCTATTTTTTGCAGAATGCCCTTGAATATTGCCGTTAGTCTCAAAATGTACTTCGCTTCTATGGAATCATCTGGCAGTAAGGTACCTAACGTATAGTCTCCGTTTTGGGGTCACCATGTTCATCGAAAGGCGGCTGGTGGTAAATCCTTAGATTCATATCAGCAGGAGTAAAATCAAAGCCGCTGTCGAGAAAAGGGCCAAAAAGCCGACAGATCTATAAGTCTGGAGTGAAACTCCATAGACTCCAATTGTCAAATATAGATCTGTGGGGAATGGGGGGGGGCATGAGTCTGTACATACGTGGATGATAGCGAGCAAACTCCAGATTCTGAATTCCGGATATCTATATACAGGTATCCGGGGCTTCGCCCCGAAAGAACCCCAGGAGCTCTTGGCCAAAAATGAGAATGCCTTACCTGGGAATTGCCTAAATTTAAATTCCCTGCAAAATAAAACCTCGCAATACTTCCTCCGGGAACCCCAGGGAATTCGGGTTTCCCTCTGCTACTTAGGATAAACTTGGGTAGTTTATTTCGCCACCAAATTGAGGTTTTGGAGGATTCCCAGGAGAAGCTTTTGTGGGGTTTCTAGGGATTTAAAGGGCGGGGAGAGGTAGCGGGGAGAGGATATCAGGGTAAATTTCAGGTGATTTTTTCTGTCTCAATTGGTGTTACCCTGAGCGTGCATGCTAAGATAAGTGTGGCTATATAGAACAAAATATGGCATCACGGCCTGAAAATGATAGCAGCAGTTTGAGCAATCGGTGGCAAGGGCTCTTTTTTTTTTAGTTGCCCAGGAGAATGGTGGTAGTGGCGAGCTTTGGAGATGAGGGATGAGAGTGGTGGCAGCAACTTTATCTTTCCAGCAGACTTTGAGGATGACAAGTGGTGGCAGTGGTAGCTTTCTATGCTGCTATAGTAACCTAGTCTGTTCCTGCATCACTGTAATCCCAAGCAGGGCGTTGAATGATTCAATCATAACCTCCTGCTGCTAGGAGGCTAAAGCCCTTTCAATTCCTTTTATAGGAACCTAGGCGTACCTTTGGTTGCGGTTGAGGTCTTTTTTTAACGAGGTTTTCAATCCCGTTTCCGCTTGCAATGAGCTGGGTATCCCATACCTACTTACCGTAGGTTTTAAATACTCTTGTGCCTATAAGCACAGTCCTGGCTATAAGCTAGCTCGGGTCTATAAGCACGCAAATTCCATTGCCTCGCTCTGCAAAAATCTTCTAAGCACATGTGCTTATCGCCCCGATTCTACGGTATACAGATTACTACCATTATAAAGATTACTCCCATTACAAGCATATCGTTCGGACAGGAATTTGTAGGCTTATAAAAAATTTAATGCTTGTAACGAGAGGTAATTTTGCAGTATAGGAATTCGAAGATACTGGAACCGCCAAACATATGTTTATAACGAAAATATGCTTATATCGGGTACGCTTATAACGGGAGTAATCTGTAAGCATAAATAAATCCTCTATAGGCATCCTTTTAAATGGCAGTCCCATCTAGTAAGAATGACTATCAGGGACCCATGGTCAGTGGTAAGCTTATAACGGGAGTTATCTGGTATACTACATTACCTTATAATTAAGTAGTACCTCCCACGTGTATGGTGAGGCAGATGTGTCAAGTAGAAGAACCCCGTAAACCAGATCTCGCGCGAGCGTGAGGACGGAGCCGTGCCATAGCATGAAGGAGAATTCAAAGAAGCTGATGATTTCTCAAAGTCCTCCGCTCTGCTCCACTCTCTAGATCTATATACATGATTTGAATTCCCTGCCCTGTGGGCTTCTCCCTGATCCGGAGGTCTGATGCCTCCCCGATCTGGAGGGGAGTTTCTGATGCCTCCTCCTCCTGTATACCGCCATTGCATGTCCATGTCCTCTGCTTCCTTCTGCATATCATGATCATGCCACTTTACCTCTCCTGACTTGCAACGGGGTTTAGAAAAAATACACCACGGGGTTGGGTTGGGGAAAAATCACTACGGGGTTTTTTGAAAATTTAAAACCCCCTCTCAGCATGCGCAATTGTTTCTATATGGTAATTATAAAACCACACAAGTCCGGGGAAATTCCCAACCCCGTACGAGGGGGAGCTTTTGGCGGGGTTTTTCCTAAGCTTAAGAATTGCTTGCAAAATAGACCTTTTGCAAGTTTGCAGATTTCATTTTTTTGCGGTTTGTAATTTCATAAAATTCAGACTTTCAGATCGATATCATTACACCAGATAACGTTAACTATCAATTACATTCCGACATTTATATTATTACTTTA